ATGCAAGTCAACATCACGCCAAACAAGATGGAAATATCTACGTGCACCTTAGAAGGAAACGAATATTAAACCTATTTTATGTTTGGGATAGAAAAATTGTTAAACAGTACAAAAAGGCGAACTGGAAACAGCTGCCTTTCGGGCCCATTATTTGAAATGACGCAGTTGAAGTGAAGTGTGTAAGGCATTTTTTCAAATATTACGTTTAGTATTAAGACTGAAACCTCACTATCTATTCGTAGAATATTGTAAAACTCTGTCAATTTACTGTTAATTAGATGGTATCCCATAATGCGAAAATATTTGCTGCCCCTACGAGGTAATGTTGGCAAATTATCTGTTGGATTGTACAGTTGAGACCGTAAACTAAAATAATACGGGGCCTTCGGCCTTACTTTATAAGTACACTTACTTCACTTCTTCAATGATCGGTTCAACAACACTTTGGGAATGGTTGGGTTGTTTGATTCACTAGCCAAAGTACAAAAATCCATAGCAAAACTTTTTTCCAGACCTCAGAAGGCAGTATAGGAGCACTATCACCATAGCTCGATTTCGTTTGACCACTGGGGTTATAGTAGGTTACAGAGTCTGTGCAGAAAGCCTAACAACAATATTTATTTACCAATGTCTATGCACTTTATCAGACTTTGAAGGGGGGTGTCGGACAGCGAGCCTTGATGGGAGTCGATTGTCACGATCCGGATCACATCAAAGTAAAAATACATCTGCTATTTCATTTTGCTGGAAGTTGGAGTAATTTCAGGACGACATGTTTGCATGCCAACAACACTGCCCTGCCTCTAGAATTTATTTTCACGAATCGTACTCAAAACTGTGTGTATGCTTGCCTTCGATGAGCACCACCCACCCACCTCTTTCCTCACGCTCTCTTCGTCCACCTCCCCGTCGCCCTTATCGTCCGCTGCACCGCTTCTCAATCCACAATTCATACATTTCGGTCCGGCTCGCTCATGACGAAGGTTTATTAAATTCTGAACGGGGTTTTATAACCATTAAAAAGTCATTACTATCACATATGCAAATTCTCAATTTCCTCCGAGTGCTGTAGCCTAAAAGAGATACTTTATCTGTCATTGGGTGGATTCAATTTGAATAATATATGTTAAAATAATGTATTGCATTGCCACGGCATTCTT